ACCACTATGGATCTACAGTGCTTAACCTGTCTCTTATACACATCTAGATGTGTATAAGAGACAGAGTAGCAGCAGTGGAGGTGGTGGTAGCAACGGTATATAGTAGAAGAAAGAAAATCGTAGGCGCATAATAGAAATCAAAATAAAATCATCCGTAAAATGTAGAAACAGTTCTGTAGAAATAATAATGATATAAGTAGACCTACAACAATTGATAAAATATTTGAGTCTTACCTAAAAAGAGCTTGGCAAACAAGGAGTAAAATTATGAATGAATGTAACGTAAATAACAGGTAAACAATGTGTAAAAAACGCTGTTTCAATTATTTTAACCCATTATAACTCTCTTTTGTAAACAATTTTAACAGCCAGTTTTAACAAGCTTTAAAATGTTTTTATTTTAAGTTATTTTAAAGTCGTTTTTTACACAATGTTTTTCATATACTGTCAATATGTAACTGTTTTTATATTTGTTGTATGTGTTGTATTGTCTATTTTGTCATCTTTGTGAACGCACTGTAATCGTGTGCCACTGTTGTAAAAGTAAAGATTCAAGTATAGATTATTATCTGTAGGCCTACAAACTGCCACGGACAATGAGCAGACGGCGTCGCGTCGGCTAGTTCTTACAGGGAGCGGGAGTTGATTCGTCGTGCAACGGTCGTACGGCAAAATACAATTGATTACAATGAGTATTTTTATTTTAGTACCCTGCAAGTGTTGGCTGTATTCCTGATAGTGTGTGTTCTGGCTGAATGTGTCTTTGCTGACGCCTTACCTGATGAAAATGGTACGTTTTACCAGCACAGGTCAAGATGCGATAGTTTAGAAATATTTAATATAATTTATTACCAGCTGAATTGTAATTTTGTTTGCAATTAATATTTTCAAATATAAATATAACCTGCGAAAAAAACTTGTCATTTCAACGTTGGATATGTTTAACTTTGCTCTTATTCTCCTCTCTTGCTGGCGTATCTTTAAAACGTGTATTTATGTATATTTTGTCCGGTCCTAATTAAATTCCAAATACTTCTGCACATCAACTGCCACGATAACAAGGACAAAATTTAAAGTTGATGTTGTTTTTTGTTTTTATAAAAATATTTTTAGAATTCGCAATACAGCCACTAATACGAATATTTAAAATCATTGTTCTCCTTTTACTTTTACTTTTTATTATCTATTTCAATTTCGTCTTGTAGAGCTTGTAGAGCAAAGAGGAATTCAACAAGACATAGGTGAGTTGTCCAGGAAATTTTGGTTGCTTGATTTATTTTTTTTTAATTAATTTATTTATTTTTTTTTTGCTACATTTTGTTTAAAATGAATATAGTTGTAGAATAGACATCACTGAATATAAATGTAGGCCTATGTGCCACATTTTTTAATGCGCAATGCTGCTACCCAGCAATTTCAAATGGCCGCTATTTGCAAGCATTTTATTACCAATAATTGTACGTTTATGACATTAGAAAATGCTAATGTATAAAATATTCTTTCATATAAGTGAAAATGAAAATAAAAATAACATTTCTTTTCAAATTTTCAAATTTCAAATTGAAATTCAAAATGGCCGCTATTTTAAATATTCTATTTTCAAATATAAATATAACCTGCTCTTATATATTCACAAACACACATATAGACCTTTTAACTCTAAATCAAACGTTGTTTTCTATCTTTTTCAATTTCGTCTTGAAGAGCTTGTAGAGCAAAGTAGAATTCGCCGAGACCCAGGTGAGTTGTCCAGGAAATTTTAGTTGGTTGCTTATTTGCTTTTTTTTTTGCTATATTTAAAAAAATCGGAACTGGTATATGTTTTATAATAGACATCACTGAATATAAAATTATGTGTCATTTTGTTTTTTTTATGCGCATGGGGGTACCCACCAATTTCAAATGTCCGCTATTTTCAAGCATTTTATTACCAATAATTGTACGTTTATTATATTAAAAGATGCTAATGTATAAAATAATCTTTCATATTATAAGTGCCAATGAAAATAAAAATAATATTTCACTTTAAATTTTCAAAATTGAAATTCCAAATGACCGCTATTTTAAATATTTCAGCTATTTTTAACATATTTAATATATAAAATTAATGATGTAATTAGTCCCATAAAATCTAGCTCTTGGAATAAATTAATTAAATAATTATAATAATCAAAATACACAGAGGTGGGGCTGGTGCAATTACACCTTAGTTGATATGCAAATTAGATCTAATATGCAAATTAGATCTAATTTGCAAATTAGGGATATGCATGCAGCATATCTCGGCAACCACTAACCCTACAGACTTGCTTTCTTTTTTTTTTAAATTGTAGAACATATACATTTCTATTTACTTTAATGTAACATTTTCTCCAAGAATGACGGGAAATGTAATATTTCACCTATGACCTTATTTTTTGGAAGATTTCCTTATTTCTGTGCCTGTTTGTAGAGACTCGTTTTGATCTCAAATTAGATTCAGTCTCGACATAATACACCCAAGGCTGATTATAATGCTCTGAATCAGGATCCCAGCATTGAATCTCTTTTTTGCAAATGCCATTTTATCATTTCCATGTTTCTGGGATAAACTGCCAGTACATATTCGAGATGACATTTAATTTAATCCGATTCTATCGAACAACGTACAAGCAAAATGCAAACACAAAACAAATTAATACTTTTTGGTCTTCTTAAACGTCATTTCTTACATGTTTAGATTACATTTTATTACAATTTAAATATTTAAACCTTTACACAAACCATTATTGTTTTAATTTTTTTTAAACAATATGTACATAGCATATTTATTATATATTTAATATGAAATAATGTTTAGTTTGGCCAGCTGATATCTGGGAAGCTCATTGACAGTGAACTTATTCACTTTTGAGCATTCCTGTCAGGTATCAACTGATGTTTTGTTGTCACGCTTGTCATGTTTTTGTACGTTTACGTTCTTTGTATTATTTTATGTAAATGACGAAAAAATGTTATGATATGATATGATATGATAATATATTAAAATATGAAACTAAATAACTAGTCTATGTTTCTTAATTTTTATTTTTATGTCTTGTAGGAAGAGGTATGTGAATAATAGGCTAACGATGGTACCGATAATTATGGTATAGTATTAATAAGATGAAGGTAATGATGGAGATGACGATGAAGAAGAAGAAGATGATGATGGTGATGATGATGATGATGATGATGGTGATGATGATGATGATGATGATGAACATGAAGAAGATGGAGATGATGATGCGAATACTATAATGACGAAAAAATGTTATGATAATAATAGGATAACGACGGTGACGATAATTGTGGTGTAGTATTAATAAGATGAAGGTGATGATGAAGAAGATGACGATGGATGATCATGATTAAGACTATGGTGATGAAAATCATCATTATTTCTAAGTGATGTGCCTGTTTTTACGTGTTGACCGTGTAGATCATGTCTCTGGGCTTCTCCACTTGGTTCTGACTTTTGATCTATGAATAAGGAAACTTCTACAGATTTTTTTTTTTTTTTTGGTTTATCAGGAGACTATCTTCTGAAAGTGCCAATGAAAATAAAAATTATATTTCACTTTAAAATTGAAATTCCAAATGACCGCTATTTTAAATATTTCAGCTATTTTTAACATATTTAATATACAAAATTAATGATTTAATTAGTCCCATAAAATCTAGCTCTTGAAATGGAATTAATTAATTATATAATTATAATAATCAAAATACACAGAGGTGGGACTGGTGCAATTACACCTTAGTTGATATGCAAATTAGATCTAATATGCAAATTAGATCTAATTTGCAAATTAGGGATATGCATGCAGCATATCTCGGCAACCACTAACCGTAGATTCAGTCTCGACATAATACACCAAAGGCTGATTATAATGCTCTGAATCAGGATCCCAGCATTGAATCTCTTTTTTGCAAATGCCATTT